CAATAATAATTTTAGGCCTATGTGTAAATCTACTGTTGGTTAAAATGCTAATTTTGCCTACACTTTGAATGGTGGACTTAAATAGACCTTAAATATGTCCTGGTTGTTAAGACAAAGTAAAGTGATGACATCAGAATACGACTATTCATAATTCTGAAGTTGAATTATTATATGTTTAAGACATGTGCTTCTCATTTGTCCTTGACAACATTGTTGGACCTTCTTTTTACATAAATAGCCATTATTGATTTTGCGGCCACAAATACGTCATTACATTAGGAGAGAAGTTACATTTTTGGGTGAATTATACCTTATAAATACAGTATGTGACACTTTTAACGAGATGTCGCTGAGCAATGTACTGTATATAAAATTATGTGAAGACAACTGACTTTACGCTTCTCTTCTGACCTTGACAATATAAGTGGCTAATTCGTTAAAAAGCAGAATTAAGATCGTGTGTAGGGTGGAATCAAGATTGCAGCTTTTTTTTTCAGATAATCGTGCAGCTCTAGGCGGAGCTTCTTTATGCCCCGCCCCCTCTCCATATTTCAATTGAGATTATGTAAAATAAAAAAAATGTGCATTAAAGTTAATTTTCATCATTTATGCAGACACTCCCCTATAAAATCACTATAATCATTCTAAAAAATAAATTCTTCAAATAGTTATTCAATCTATCTAGTGAAGCATATTTCATTACGAAATGCTGAAAAACTAAGTATTGCGATGTTAATTTTTTCCAATTTAATGCAGCTCTACTGCGGAATGTCATATTAAGGTCTTTGCAATGTCCAAAGAAAGCTTGCCTGAGGTCTACTGTGGCTGTTGCTTCATTAACAATTTGGAGCTGTGTATTATTTGATATAGTCTCATAAGTCCTATACTATGCAAATGCAAATGAACAGTGGGGCTGTTAAAAAAAACAATTAATGTAGCTCTTAGATTTTCAAGAGCACCATCACAAGGAAATGTAACTTCAAGTGTAGCTTCTCAGCCTCTTTTAGATGAAGTGATGTTTACCCTGCTCTGATATTGTTTATCATCTTCTCCACTTTAAATTTCACTGTAGATATTTTAGCACCATCTCATTGGTACATTTAACCAACATTATTTAATCCTCCTTGCTTGTTGTGACGATGAGCCATTTTTAATATGTACATTGAGGTATATTGATCATCATGCAGCAAGTATCATTTTTTAGAAGAACAACACATTTGAATTATTAGCATAAATTACTGTCTCAAAGAGAGCCGAGGAAGATGAGGTTCTGTGAATTTGGGGTGCGTGCTTGTGTTCACGGCATTGGCAGGGCTCAGCATGTGCAAACTGGTTGATGAAATGAATAAATAAAAAATGTGGGACTGAAAGTTGCGCCTTGGCACGCTGACCTAAAATCCAGTGAAGACTCGCCATGTTTCCCGTGGGATTAATCCAGTGTGGCATACAGAGTGTAGCGCAGCCTGTAAGGATTATATGTACTGGACTTGGGCTCCCGCTGCCCTACTTTTCATTAAAATATAGAGAGAGGGAGACAGAGAGGGAGAGAGAGATTGCATGAATGCCTGGACAGATGGAGTGGGGGTTTGATTAAACAGAGCACAAGTACTGGGAAATGCTACAACTTTCTCTTTCAACACACAGACAGTTGTAAAATTAACCCGTTTGCTTGATATTGTTGCACGGATGTTTTGGTGAACGCCCGAGTCTGTATTAATAATCATGTTTGGTGTGTTTTCATTTGACCCGCGTGAGCTTCTGCAGTCTAAGAGGATTGTTTGTTTCTGTGTGTATTTTGCTGTCATATTCTCACATTCACAGCCCTAAACACACAACGACGGTGCCGTTCCTGAGAGAAATATCTTTGGTTGCCCCTGAGCTGCAGAAGCTGCTGAAATATAAATGAGACACTTAATGGCTGAGGCTGTATCGAGCCAGTGTTTACAGGGATCCCAGGATTGTGTGTCACGGGGCTTCTGGCTTCGGTCTCAGGAAGTCCTCTTGCCACTTGCCAAATCCCGATTCATAGATGCCACAGGGAGTCTGTGTGTCACACTGGATGTGTTTATGTTGCCTTGACTGGGGCCCATATGCCCGGACAGGACCCCCATATGCGATCATCCCTCAAGACATGAGAAATGCTCAGTCACATTTCTTATATACAGAAAAATAAACTGCCATACACTGTACTACAGATGGTTGTACTCTAATTCTTTTAAATATTTGGGGGGAAACATTTCTTGTCTTTGTTCTGGATATTTCCCATAACTAATCTATGAAATTAAACAAATGTGGTTAGGTAAAGTTACAATATTGCAATATGCCAAAAAAAGTATGTGAATCTAGAAATTAATATTTAAAAATTGCTCAGTGTTTCCTCTAGGATTTTTTCCAGCTGTGGCAGCAGGCCTTTTACACAGATTTACCAACTACCTATGGCATTAATTCAATGACAAATGGCTTGAGTGCAGTATGGCCCACTCTGGCCCTTATTGTTGAGCCCTGCTTAAGCAATGTGTTTGGATATGTTAAGGCTGGTTGATTTATCGAAGTTAAATTGCAAACATGATTAAGCAAAGATTAAATTGTTTCAAACACTTGATGGAAGTTATGAATTGAGTTTGGAGTAAAAACATTTTATTGAATATCATATTTTCACATGCTTTCACATATAGCAGCACACTTTAGCGGCTTTACTGACAAAATTCACATGAAAATTAATTTTGATTAATCGCCAAGCTGTTACTTCACATTTTATAAACCAAAATCACTGGCTTCCATTGTGTTACTTACAATGTTATGGACTTAGAAGAAGCTGAGGTGAGATAATTTCTTTTTTTAAATGGCTTTTTGGAAAGAGATTTTAAATTGACCAAAAACACTGATGATTTATTTTTCACGGATAGATTTATGTCCATACGACCCCCTGCATTCCATAATAACTTAAAAAACAGCAAATCATGGCTGTAACTTCATACATTTATTTTCTTTTCGGCTTAGTCCCTTTATTAATCTGGGGTCGCCACAGAGGAATGATTTGCCAACTTATCCAGCATGTTTTTACGCAGTGGATGCCCTTCCAGCCGCAACCTATCCCTGAAAAACATCTACACACACTCATACACTATGGACAATTTAGCTTACCCAATTCACCTATACCGCGTGTCTTTGGACTGTGGGGGAAACCGGAGCACCCGAAGGAAACCCACGCGAACGCAGGCACTCCACACAGAAACGCCAACTGACCCAGCCAAGGCTCGAACCACCGAGCCTTGAACCTTACTGCACCACTGCGTCGTCCATGTCTATAACTAAAGTCCCTATTTAGGTATATAAATAAAAAAGGAAGTGCATTCCTAAAAAATTAGCTCAACAAATTGCCAAGTGCTGCATTTTAAAGTACATTCAATTCATTGTGGATGGCACAGTGGTTAAATGGTTAGCATGGTTGCCTCACAGCAAGAAGTTCTCTGGTTCAAATCCCATCTGGACCAGGAGGCCTTTTTGTGTGGAGTTTTCATGTTCTCCCCGTGTCTGTGTGGGTTTCCTTTGGGTGCTCCGATTTCCCCCACGGTCCAAAGACATGCAGTATAAACTAAATTGGCTGTAGTGCATGTCAATTTCACTTCAGGTTCATTCCGCTGCGGCGTTCTCTAAAAATGTAGGCAGTAAGCCAAAGGAAAGTGAGTGAGAGAGTAGTTTCATTGTTGTTTGTGGTTATTTCAATTGTGAAATCCAATAAATATATTCATATATAGTACCTAAAATCAAAATGTCTTTCTTACCGATTTCCTGTTATGGAAACTGTAGCAATGCATTGTCAGAAGCTATAGTATAAGATGGTGTTTCCAAATTAAAGTTAGCAATGTAATTATTTGAGCTGTCAAACAATTAATCATGATTTAAACATAAAATTAATGATGTAAATATCTGATCTACTGTGTTTTGCAAAGTGAAACACCGACGGCATCAAATTTAATTTATATGAGAACAGTGCATGATCCTGAGCAGTACATGCATCTCTCTGTTTGTTTTCTTGAATAATTGTCAATTGGCTTTTAAATAACACCAATAAATCTATACTGTAAGCTAATATTATGCATTTTAACATTTCAATAACTAAACTCACTTTCTTTCGCACTAAAGGCCTCTCAAGTCTCCTGTAATTATAGTGCTTCTGGCAGCGTTCAGATTGCAAAAAAAAAAAAACTGTTTTACCTTCCCAAATAATTGAAAGTGTCAAATCAGAACACTTTCTACAGTCTTTTTGCTACACTGAAAAAAATGATTCATTGGATTTACTTAATTTTTTTAAGGCAAGCTGTTGCAAATAATTGAATTGGGTTAAGTTTAAGCAAACAATTTTAGTTGGATTTACTCAATTTATATGTGTTGGATTTAAACAATCAAATTAGGTTGGATTAACTCAATTTATATGTGTTGGATTTAAACAATCAAAATAAGTTGGATTTAATCAATTATATTTAGTTACATTTATCTAATGAAATTTATTTAGTTCACTATAATTTAATTATGTTATTCCTACTTACATCTATTTATTTTTGATTTTGTCTAAAATGATCATTAAACTGCTTGCAAATACACTTTGAAATGACACTTGACCACATTTGTTTTGAATTCATTTTAATGACTTTTTAAGATGCATTTTTTAACAAAACATAAATCATTGCCTATAAATGCTTTAGCAGCACACCATAAAACAATAAACAGTTTGTACAGCACATTTAATTTAAACCAACACATAAAAGAAAACTGTATGAAGTCTTGGAGCAAACAGCAATTCTTATGAAACACACACACACACCCCAATACACAAAATAATCAACTAATTAACTTGAAAAAAAACTTTTAAAAAAATTAACTCATTAACAGATTGAGCAACTACAAGTTGTATGAAATGGAATAAATACAAAGTTTATAAAATGCACATGCTCTCGCACACACACACACACACACACACACACACACACACACACACACACACACACACACACACACACACACACACACACACCATTTAAAACAAGTTCCTACAGCAAATTAATTTTGCAGACAAAGAAAACTTAATTCACTTATTAAACAATTCCTACTCTAAACTGCAATTTGTATATGATATACATATGGTTGTTGAGCATTTATCAACACTTCAATGCTTAAAATTACAGCTTCGCACTGTTTTCCAGTATGAGAACCTTTAAGGAGAGCTGGTCAGTTCATTTGCACAAGTACTTTTTGGGCAAACTCGTAATAGTATTTGAGTTCTTTTGGGTAGGCCAAATCAAGCACATAAATTGCCCCCAACATCCGTGCACAGGCTTGTGCAACAGATTTTATCTGTTCAAGAATCACTTTTCCATTCACAACGATGCCAATGTCCTCATAATCTCCTCTTTCCTTTTGATGACACATATGGCCATGGCGGTGTTTGTCAGGTCCTTCAAAAATTCTTCTTTTGGTTGCCCTATATTTAAATAAAAAGAAACCATTATTAGACATTGTTTTTGAAACATATTTTGTAAAAAGTCAGAAGAAATCAAATGTAAATAAAACCAAAACTCTAACGGCACTCCCCACACCCACATTGATACCTGTGAAATATTATAACAATCATTTATGATTGCATACTGGCGAACATATATTTGTGCATGATCTGCAAGTACGACTTCTTCACAATTATTTACAGGGTTTATTCAGGTTTTCTCAGGTTAAATTTAAGATCTTTTAAGACAAACTAAAAAGAATTTTGGAAAAAATAATTGAAAGGCAAACAATACAGTAATATGTTGAAAACTAAACATAATGTCAAGGAAGCATTTTTGCATTATAATTTAAATAATATTACACAAGGTTTAAGGCTTGAAAACCACAGATTTGGCCACTTGAATGTGGAAATAACTTCTGATCAGACCCACTGTATATCAATATACCTGGTCATAATTGTTCACCTTAACCCTTCTGTATTATTTATATTTACTACCCTTTCCTTATGTTAGTTGCTGTTTTTTTTTGCCCCATTGACTTCCATTATAAAATTTTTTGGATGCAAATCCATGACAGCATGTAATCACGCATTGTTGCTGGTTTTCTTCCCTTTTCGGTAGATGTATATTTTGTCATTTTTACTGTTGATGATCAGTTGACAAGCATAACCATTTAGATAGTCCTGTGCAAAAAAGTTTCTGGCTTTTATATGGAGTTCTTTGGAGTATAAACAGTAAATGATAGTGTGAGTGTGTGTGCATAAATACACTTACTATGTTTATTATATGTCTGAAAAAATGTAAATAAGCAACTCTCAAAACAATGTTTGCAAAAGTCTCACACACACACACACACACACACACGTGCACACACACTATACTCCGTATAACTCTATATAAAAACCACAAACCTTTGCAATGTTTTGCTCTGCAACTGATGATCAATTATAAAAATGACAAATTTTACCTTTTCCTAACAAGAAAAACCATCAAAGATCGAAAATATTTAATATACTGTGACTGTCATGACCTTGCAATTAAAGAACATTGTTATAATGGAAGTCAATGAGACAAAATCAGCCCCAAACATAACAAAAGAGTAATACATTTGCCCAGAGTGTATTGTTGAGGTTTTTAAAAATTTAAAAGCATTTTCCCAAAATATGAGTAAAAATAACATGTCACCAAAAATCATTTCATGAGCTCAAACAAAGAAATCTGTCCCCAAATTAATATCCTCAACAGCACACAAGGCTTAAGAATAATAGTGCACAAGTAAAATAAACATCAGCAAATGAAATTCAGTAGAAATGTTACACCTTGATGCAAAATTTAAGACCTCTCAAATTTAAGACTTTTTATGACCTTAAATTTTAAAGATAATAATAATACTTAAGACTTTTCAAAGACCCACAGGACCTCTGCAAATAATAAAAAAGTACAATAATAATAAAACATATTTAATTGGACAAATTAATAGACATGTATATTTATTTAATTAGTATTTTTAAAAGTCATTAATTAAACCAAAATAATTTAAATATATTAAGTATATTTTAAATGTATAAGTAAATATACAAATTTAAAACTTGAATTCATACTTTAAAAAAACGTCATGTTTCATTATTAGATTAAACATTTTCGAAGAATTATTCAGCAATACATTTTTGATTGGTAGTACCGCCACCCATTGACCTAAAAATGTAATTCAAGTCAAGTTGCTTTTAAACAGTAATTTTAATCTTAACATAAACATAAATTCTCTTTTTTTGGAAAAAAGTGGTTTACTTGTACTTTTGTGACTATTTGTTTGTAATTTAGAAATAATAACACTGTATAGAAAGACTAAAACAGGGGTGTCCAAACTCCTTCTTGGAGGGCCAGTGTTCTGCCGATTTTAGCTCATCCTTGCAGGTGTGTTGAGGCAAAATAGTTTCTAGATCACCTAGTAAGAGCTTGATTAGCTAGCATAGGTGTGTCTAATTGGAATTGGAACTAAACTTAGCAGGACACAGGCCCTCCAGGACCAAGCTTGGACACCCCTGGACTAAACAATGAATATCTCTGGGGTCAAACACAGATCTGAACCCAATGCTGAGAACGTCAAAGGATTAAGAAACATATGCAACTTTTAATCATTTAGTATTTGTAGGCATACTAATATTAGGCACATATATTGCGATTTTCAAAAAGTATTACATCGCTTTGTAAATGTTTATTATTACCATTTGTTGAGTCTCCCAATACTATTTGATATAGTCAAGCAATGTGATGTCACACTCAACAAGCTGATAGTTTTCTCACGGTTCAATAACAGTGTGTATTACCGTTACAATGCGAGAGTTTGAGGCAAAAGATAATAGGTTGCTCTTACGCGTGTAGTGACCAATGGCATTTTTTTTTAACTTCATTTACAAATATATGTAAATAAAAAGCATTTGAAAAAAGAAAAAAGCCATTAACATAAACAGTGAAAAAACTATTTTCAAATTCTTTAAAATTATTAATTAATTTTGTTTTTGAGATATTAAAATATTTTGTTCAATGTTCTATTCATACTTTTGCATTGAATTATTATGCAACTTACTTGCACGAATCTAGCAAGTGTTTGTGTAGCGCAATGTGATTTTAATAGACCATAATGTGTTCAACATTAGGTTCACCTATTAATTCAAATATGGCACTCAAAAAAGTTTCCGTTTGTCTCATTGGCCACTGTAACCCCACCCTCAGCCTCTGAACAAAGCAGTTCTTTCTTATAGCCCAGGTGCAAGCACTAGTACTATGATTGTAGTACTCACCATGTATTCTTTCACCAGGCATGCCTCATCCTCACCAAGGTAAGTAAAGAGAGCTTGAAGAATAGACGCTCTTTTGAGATGGACATCGGTTGTCTGTAAATAATACAAATTTGATTAGTTAAATACATAAATGATAAATTGGAAAACGTTAAGAAATGTATTAGATTAGATTAAACTTTGTCATTACACATGTACAAGTACAATGTAACGAAAATCAGTTTAGGTCTAACCAGCAGTGCAATAGCAGCAAGTGCAGTATACAGGTATAAGTTATAAAGTGCAGATATAGAAAAACTTTAGTGATATTTACAGATGGACGTACTATCAACATTATATACATGTTGTATTAGCTATGAACAGAGATTTAAAATAAATTATTATATGTACAAGTTGCTATTAATAATCAGAAGTGTACAGATAGATAAACAATTACAAGTGTACAGTATACAGTATGTACAGTTCAAATGAATGAATCAGTCTAATGTAGTGCAATGAATGTGTAATTTTTAAATGTGCAAATGTTAAATAGTGTAATGATAAAGAGGAGTATAAGTTCTGAGGACAGTGGGGGTGTATTAGGAGGGCAAAATAATTAGTGGGGGATAGAGTTGAAAAAGGGACAGCTCTGAGGAAAGTGCTGTTCCTTAAGGCTGATTTATACTTCTGCGTCAAACGCACGCGTATGCTACGGCGCTGACGCATAGCTCTTCGCCGTGGCCGTCGGCGTCGCTGACGTGCACCTCTCAAAAAATGTAACTACACGTCGCAACAACGCGTAGCGCAAGCTCTGTGATTGGTCGACTTGGTAGTGGCCAAGTGGACAGATAATGTATCTCCTCCCTGTAGGCCGTCTCATCATTATTGCTGATTAGACCAATCACAGTGGTGTCATCTGCAAATTTGATGATGATGTTGGATCTATTCACAGGCCTACGGTTGATAGTAAAAAAAGAAGTAGAGGAAGAGGCTCAGCACACAGCCCTGTGGTACACCAGGGTTAAGTGTGACGATGGTGGAGCAGATGTGGCCTGATCTGACATTCTGAGGTCTTTTAGTCCGAAAGTCTATAATCCAGTTGCAGAGAGACGAGTCGATATCCAGGTCTCTAAGTGTAATCAATAACTAATGCAGAGTTCAGACTGCATGATTTTGAAAGTAGTCGTGTCATAGATGTTTTTACACTGCGTGACTATCTGGGCTAGCGTTTTGTTGCTGCTTTATTTATATTATAACTTCGTCTAAACTACGTCTCACAACCCAAAAACCATCTGTTTGACCAGGCTGTGGATTAATGCTAATATTGCAAATAATGTTAAATTTCTTACACAGACCAATTGTTTTACTTTACAGGACCTTCATCAGGAGCCATGGCTTTAGATTTGGACTTTATTCTTAAACTGAAAAACCCATCCCCATTCGCTGTTATTATTTGAATCACCATGTACCACAGATTCAGCTAAAAATCATCAGTAGTGTTATATTAACATTAAGTTAAATAAATATTAATTTATTTTCTTCTCGGCTTAATCCCTTTATTAATCTGGGGTCGCCACAGCGAAATGAACCGCCAACTTATCCAGAATGTTTTACACAGCGGATGCCCTTCCAGCAGCAAACCATCACTGGGAAACATCCATACACTTTCATTTACACACATACACTACGACAATTTAACTTACCCAATTGCCCTATAGCGCATGTCTTTGGACTTGTGGGGGAAACCGGAGCACCCGGAGGAAACCCATGCGAATGCGGGGAGAACATGCAGACTCCACACAGAAATGCCAACTGATCCAGTCGAGAATCAAACTAGCGACCTTCTTGCTGTGAGGTGAGAGCGCTACCCGCAGCGCCACCTGTTAAGAAAATATATATTTAAAAAATAAAAACAATTAATAACTGAAACCAGCTCAAATGTTATCGATTATTTATGTCATATGCCATGTCCCGAATAAAACACGTTAACGTAATGCACAATTGTTAGTCATTTGAGACTCCTTTATTACAGCACTCCCACAAGTTTCTCTCTTGCTTTCACAAATAAAATTATACATATTTAATGTATATCCATTATTAATAGCCTATCTAAGTTTTGCCCAGCTAGCGATACCTGAAGGTAAAGGTAGCCTATAAGCATATTTTTTTCAGTGCATGCATTGACTGCATCGTCTAATACATAGAATATAAGTATGTTTGTGGTTAATTAGATGGCATGATAAGCATGGACATGAGCATTATTCAGAACATAGCCTATATATTTATTTTTAAAATGTTATATTTATTTAGAAATTAAAACTATATTAAATTTCAACTTGCAGTAATAATCTAAACATTAAACTTTGTCTCGATGTTGTGAATTTATTATCTTTTAACACACCTAAATCTGACGATTGTCCCTTACATGTATATTACATTTATAATGATACTCAAATTTATTTAATCAACTGACTGTTTACTTGTGAATAGTTTGTTTAGTTACACTATATTTAAAGTGATTTCTTTTTTCGACTACCTTGTAAAGACATGTAAAGGCTGATTTATACTTCTGCGTCAAATGCACGTGTATGGTCCGACGCAGCCTGCGCGCAGTCGAATAGCCCTTGCCGTGGCGCATCTCTCCAAAAATGTAACTACACATCGCAACAACACGTAGCGCACGCTCTATTAGTGGGCTTGGTAGCGCTTACGCGTGTGGGCAGGGTTGAGAGCCACGGCAACCCATTGGAGCGAGTGTTTACAAGTGTAGAGTCCCATGAAATAGCTCGAGGTGGAAACTGTTGCTTTGTTTTTACCTTATGATTAAAGTTGTTGTATGACCGCCGGCTCCCGCCTCAGAATGAGCGAGTTTTATCTTCTTGTTCATTAAGGTAGTGTTCAGAAAAAACAAAACCCAAGCGAAGAAACTCCATACAGAGGGAACATATAAACCTACTGCTTTTGTAAGTGTTATTGTAGAACAACACAAACAGCGCGCACAAGTATAAGTGCTCAGCTGCACGCAGGGCAGGCGCCGTAGGTCACGCCAATCACTCAACGCAGAAGTACAAACCAGGCTTAAGGCCGAATGTGCATTGTGCAATTTTGAGCCAAATTCTGATGCGACTCTTCTTTGAATCAAATTAAATTTCAACTTCGATATTTGCTGTGCTGTGTTGATGCAATGTACAGGAGGAACTAAGAGGTGAATAACCTCTCTTGGTCGGCAATCAGATAGTCGAATCATTTTATGTCAGGTCAGACATTTTGGTCGGCCCTCTTGAGAGAATCACGGAGATGAATCAAAGTTGTGCTCTTACTGCACCCTAGTACTGTGAAAACTAGGGAAGCAACAATAACATTTACTTATTCTTCACTTGTCACAAACCTGTTTGAGTTTCTTTGTTCTGATAAACACAACATAAGATCATTTGAAAAATGATGAAAACCGGTAACCATTGACTTCCATAATATGTTTTTCCTACTATGAATGTCAATGATTACTGGTTTCTAACACTCTTCAAAATATTTTATCTTGTGTTCAACAGATAAAAAAACTCAAAGGTTTGGGACCATGGAAACATGGTGAGTGAATAGTGAGTAAATTTCCTTTTTTGGGACTATTTAGATTTTTCAGAGCAACATATTCAGTTAAGAGACTGTTTACTGTAATGTGTAGTGATAAATGTTTTGCAGTTACTTACCATAAAAAGTTGATGGAAAATTCCAACTGCAGTACTGGACAGAAAATGTGTTTAAACCCCTGACCAAGGAACTCAGCAAAGGAAACTTGTTGTACAGTACCTAAAATGAAAGGAAGCACATGATTATCATTTAGGTTCAAAATTCAGCACAAGTAACAACATGACCAACTTCTTAATCAACATATTGTTTACCGATTAATTATATTAGGCAACATTTAGATAAATTACTTATTAAACAAATTGCTGAACGTGATTGATATGTTTAGTTAGGGTTATTTTTATACCAACACCAATAAGGTTAGCAAGAACTTTTTCTTCAGTTCAACATTAAATATTTTAGCTGAATTTTCTTTAATGTTTTACTGAAGAAAGAAAGTCTGTGGGTGAGTAAACTAACGTTAATGGGGAATGTTTGGGTTTACTCCTTCAAAGTCAGATTTATTTTTAAATCAGTGATTGTCACTGCCTGATTGATACGATATAAAGTGGGTCTCAGACCAGACAAAGCACTGCATTAAATTCCATTCTTCAACGCTATGTCTTAAAAATATGTACATTTATTTTAACCACAGTATTTTCCATGAAGTTTTAGCAGTCGTCTGCATGTGTTTTACGTTTGAACAACTAAAGGAATGCTTCAGCTTATTTAAATGATATTATTTTAATTAAATTACATTATCATTGATGTAAAAGGCACTTTATGAATATGGAAAAAGTCACATTAAGTTAACCTTGCGCTGAACGTTTATCGGTGGCTGACAAACACTTGCTGTGAATCTAAGTTAGCCCATTAACAGCATTATAACCCCAAAGACATAATTACAGCATCTTACGTAAAAAATACAGAACTGTATAAATGGACGCCCTTTACGTTAAAAGTTAATGTTACGCCAGTATGGGCACACATTCGACAACCTCCTAAGACAGTCAGTAGTGCCCTAACGCCAGACCAAATCGTTCTAAAACAAAATCAGTATGGTACTGTCCGTTCACAACTATCTAAACGCATGTTTAATGTTAACCATAGTAAAAGCCACCGTAAATTCACAAAGGACTGAGCTAACGTTAGCAACGAAACTTTTTTCGTTTGGAATGGCGGATCACGGACACTGTCGTCACATCAAAGAAAATGCTTATTCTCTTGAAAATAGCCATTTACTTCATTAAAAACATTATATATCAAGTCTACATAACTACATTCTTGTTAAAAAGAATCTTAAATATATTCTGCGACATAAAAGCGAGATTTGTCAAACCGTGTGTAACGTTAACTGTTAGCTTAACTTGCGAGCGCGCTCGACGGCTGGTCGCTGTGAAATTTAAAAACGACCAAAAGAGACAGTCCGAACGAGAGACCATTTTATGCGTCTATGTTACCCACAAAGTTTTTTCTGTAATAAACAGTCTGGTACAATATAAAATGTGACTTACTGTGCAAATGGATGTACAGAAATCCGGCTCTGGCGTCTTGCTTCCATCTGACTGGATTCTGTAAAACTTCCTTTGGGCTTTGGCGCCGAGGCAACAGAACATAACGCGCATGCGCACAAAGCTAACATAATTTTTTCTAATAGACTTTAATTAATTGATTTAGATTGGATCAAAACACATCTAATTCACTTAAAACCTATTAAAAATAATTTAATAAAATCAACAACTAAATTAAATTGTTTAAAATAAACTAAATTGAATTATGTTTAATTTAATAGAGGCCTAAATCATTTTTTTCAGTGTACTTGCCATATTGAATAGACACATACCCTCTGTCATCTGGGGCAGTTATCAACTAGATGTGAAAGAAAGCAGATGTTTGATCATGATGTGATCTATCATCTGTGATGGATAACACATCCAATCTAGTAATGGCCGTTTGTAACGTTTGATTAACAATAAGAGTCAAAAATGGCGAGCTATTACTGCTACGAAATGGGCAACTGTTATTGTGCATCTCGCCGCGTGAGTCATCCTTCATTTAGCATTCAGAAAAGCTATCCATTATGCATCATAATTACTGTTAAGAGACTCCAAGAACAATGACCTCACAAAGGTGCCGTAAAAAGCTTTTAGCACAAGAATTTATACTTACAGCTTTTTGCCATGCGTTTCATTTCAGATGTGTTGATGGACTCCACGACGGCGACTGCAGAGCTGGGCTGGACGATATATCCATCATTGGGGGTGAGCCTCGTTGAAATAATTTAGATGATCATCAAACCTAGCATAAATAAATAATTCAGCCTGACTCATGTGGTGCAGAAATAGACTTTGAATGAATTCCAAATCAGATCATTTTTAGTGTTGGTTGTCTCACTTTTTTACCTTAGATGTGTCTTTAATGGTGTGAAGCCAGAATGAATGTTCTATACATATGCAGATAGCAGAGTTTTACTATTAGCTGAACACATTGCTTATTTAAACATTGTTCTCTGTGCTTCTGTCTCAGTGGGAGGAAGTGAGTGGATACGACGAGAACATGAACACCATACGCACCTACCAAGTATGCAACGTCTTCGATGCCAACCAGAACAACTGGGTACGCACCAAATACATCCGGCGGCGAGGAGCCCAGCGGATCCATGTGGAGATGAAGTTCTCCGTTCGAGACTGCAGCAGCATCCCGAAAGTTCCCGGCTCTTGCAAGGAGACGTTTAATCTGTACTATTTTGAATCAGACTCTGATACAGCCACTAAGGTGTATCCCGCCTGGATGGAGAACCCTTGGGTCAAGGTGGACACCATTGCGGCCGATGAGAGTTTCTCCCAGGTGGATTTGGGAGGTCGTGTGATGAAGATCAACACGGAGGTGCGGAGCTTTGGGCCGGTGTCCCGTAGTGGCTTCTACTTGGCCTTTCAGGATTACGGAGCATGCATGTCTCTCATCGCAGTTAAGGTTTTCTATCGTAAATGCCCCAGAATTATTAGGAATGGGGCCATCTTTCAGGAGACCTTGTCAGGGGCGGAAAGCACCTCTCTGGTGTCCGCCCGGGGCACTTGTGTACCTAATGGAGAAGAAGTGGATGTACCCATTAAACTTTATTGCAATGGAGATGGGGAGTGGCTGGTACCTATCGGGCGGTGTGTGTGTAAGGCCGGACATGAGTCTGTGGATAATGGGACTATGTGTAAAGGTAAGCATTGTGGTTTTTTAGTTTGAGTGTGTCTTTTAAATATTTAGATTTTGCTCTTAAAGGAACAGTCAAATAAAAAACTAAACAAAACAAAAAATATTTAATTATCTTCCATGTTATATTACAAGCTTATATTCTGTTGATGTTTTGAACATGAACCATAGAAACGCTCCTAACACAAAAAGTCTTTAGCATATGCTTATGTCTTCTGTGTGGTACGCTAAAATAAAAGCGATTATTCAATTATCCTTTTCTGCTTTCAAAGCAAATATGACTCCTATGGTGCATGTCAGAATTCATTATGATTTCATTCTTGACATATGAAATGTACTGTTTTTGTTGTGATGGTTGCAGGTGAAGTAAATCAATACATGACTTAGGACCTATTTTGAAATTTTGGCCAATACCAATAACCAATAATTCTTTACATGAAGTGCCATCTAAAATGTTTTTTTTTAAATGAGCATTTTTCTCAGGATCCTGTTTATAGGTTCAGTAATTTTATATTTAAGACATAGAATAAGTTATGTTTATGGCCTTTAATGTGAAATAAGTGAACATAAAACTAGGCAGCTAAGAAATTTTGAGAAGAAAATTTCAGGTGGTATTTAGAGGTTTTTGCATCTGAACACTTCACATCTGGAAGCTAATATAAACGCCATATAAACGCAAATCCTGATATTATTTTAAGACTTATTACAAAACCAAAATGGAAGCAAAAAGAATAGATAAGTGATTTTATTTTTGAAAGTAAACTTGATTTTAATATGAAGGAAACCGCAGGTCAATTAAATAGCAATTTCTATATCTTTAATTTTCAAAATTCTAATAAATTTCAAAAATCACATTTCCCACACTGCTTTTAAATTGTCTTCCCTTTCCATAAACCCTTCTGAATTGTCCCTTCGCTAAGCCACGCCCAAAAACCACCATCCACCAATCGTGGCTTAGCAACTGTAGCTACGCGCAGGGGCTCTGTCAAGCTTTTGAGCGAGTGCATATGAATTGTGCAAATCTGATACCCGGTCTCCTTAAAGTTCGTATGGGATGGTGGAATTTTTTCCCTTTTTAAAACCTAAAACCCAAGAGGAGAAATGCCAGCGTGGATCAAGCTGTGTGAGGGGCGCTAAAGGAGCAGAACTAAGTTGGTTTTGTTTTGATATTCCTGACACATTCAGTGATAGACCGACCGCAATAACTCACACACCTCTTACCCTAAACAGATCTAAACTGTGTTTCCTACAAAAACACAAAGCTGGTTATGTTTCACAGCTGTCTTATTCTCTTTTTTCGCTCAATACTATGAGTAATTCTCCATTTAAGTCTTCGCCATAACGTTAGTAACGTAGTCATACTAATAGCGAATAGATCATAATGACATGAGTTATTGATCCGGAAAATACGTATCTGCAAATCTGTTGCTAACTCTACTGAACTTCATATTTCCATCTTATTTCAAGCTACGAATATTTGAAATTACAAATAAACAGAACAAAACCGAGATAAGATCACAAACTGAGCAGCTGCGATCAATATACTTTACCCCCAGCTGTTTTTCAGTCATTTATAAAGAGCACACAAACATACTGACAGTAATAGGTAACTTTCTGTACATTGTTATGGGTCAATGATGCTAATATTCTGCACAAATCCATCAGTTTCCCTTTCTGGCTGTTCTATCTATGAATGGACTGTGTAAAAGCACTGTCATGCGTATTTCCTCGTCGGTTAGTAAACTATATATCATTGCACACCAATGAAAATTAAATTAAATTTTAATTTAATTTAAACCAATTAAATTTCACCTCTCCTGCTGAGCATGAGCTAAGCTGTTGAATGGTTAGCGTATGAGGCAGCTAGGCTAAGCTAGCTTTAATTTTTATTGATTTATTCTCTAATTGGTTGCCCATTATGTGGTAAATATACTCCTGTAATGCATACTGCAGTCCTTTTTTGTATGGCTTTCTCGAATATCTCACCTGTTCGCCAAAAATGACATCATACCCCTGGCAATGTCTGAAACCGGCGCACACACATTGAAATAGCTTGACAGGCTTAGCAACAGTAACTAAGGAGGGCAGGGCTTAGCGTTGTGTGACATGTCTCAGTATGTGTCAATTTATTGGTCAAAATGTGTTGTCATATTGGGCAAAATGATAATGATAACATTAAAAATAAGCTTCAGCCAATAATGGTTTTACCACATATAAATACCTGACAAAAGTCTTGTCGCCTATCCAAGTTTAAGGAATAACAAATAATAGCTTTTAGTTAATCATTTAGTATCAGAAGTGGCTTATATAAAAAGGCAACAGCCTCTAGTTTACAATTATTTTACCAATATTAAATATGATCATGCCTTGATTTTTAATTATTTAATCAGGACAGTAAGGTCTGACTTTGCTTAAAGAGCCCATATTATGGGTTTTTGAAAATGCCTGTAACGGGGAGACTGACACGGAGGGATCCATTTTGCAGTATTTATTAAGTCACACTTGAACATCAACAACTCGCACGGCTGTGCGAACATACAACATACACATCAACGATGATTAGCAGATAACAGAGGCAGAGTGATTACCAGGCTTGTGTCAAAGGCAGGCAGCGTGATTCAGAGTCCGTGTAACAGGCTTTGGTCAGGGGCAGGCAGCGAGAATCAGAGTCCGTGTAACAGGCTTTAGTCAAGGGCAGGCAGAAGACAGAGCAGGGTCGTGAAACGGGCTGAAGTGGTAAACGGGAGATCAGGCAGGATAGAACGCTCAGAAATGCTGGCCGGGGCTAAACAAGACTTCGCACTGAAGTGTGTGTGTGAGCTGCTTATATATGGTACGTGGGTCATTAGTGGAATGGAGAACAGGTGTGCTGGGATCAGGGTGAAATGGATGACGTAATGATTAGAAGTCCGGAGATGGTGACCTCTGCTGGTCAGCGAGGGGAATGACTGGGACCGAGTCGGTGACAGAGCCCCCCCCCAACGAGCGGCTCCTGAAGTGAGGCAATTCTCGACGCCGGGGTCTTCCACGGGGGCGAGGGGCCGGCATCTCCGGATGTTGTGAGTGGAACTCTTCCAGTAGTGTGGTGTCGAGGATGTCCTTGCGATTAATCCAAGATCTCTCCTCCGGGCCGTACCCCTCCCAATCAACGAGATATTGGAGTTGTCCACCCCGGCGTCTGGATCTCAGGATTTCGTGGATCTGGTATGCCTCCTCACCATCGATCATGAGAGGCGGGGGACCCTGTTCACCGGCTGCCACCTCCCTATCCGCCTCGGCTGGACCAGCAGCAGGCTTGAGCAGAGAGACATGGAAAGTGGGGGAAATACGAAAATGATTAGGGAGTGTCAGTCTGAACGAAACAGGAGATATTTGTCTTTCAATCTGGAAAGGACCCATGTACCTGGGGCTGAGCTTCTTGCAGGGCAGCTTGAGGCGTAAGTCACGGGTGGAAAGCCATACCCATTGTCCTGGGGAATACATGGGACCAGAACGTCGGTGTCGATCGGCTTGTTCCTTGAAACGCCGTACGGCGTAAGAGAGGTGAGTGTGAGCTGCGTTCCAGACCTCTTCGCAGCTTTTAAACCAGGTATCCACCGCAGGGAGTTCAGAGGTCTCGCCGGACCAGGGAAAGAGAGGAGGTTGGAAGCCCAGCACGCATTGAAATGGGGTTAATCCAGTAGATGCCTTTCTGAGGGAGTTCTGAGCATATTCTGCCCACATCAGAAATTTAGCCCATTCATTCTGGTTCGAATGACAGTACGTGCGGAGGAACCTGCCGATTTCCTGGTTCAAGCGCTCTGTCTGCCCGTTGGATTGGGGATGATAGCCGGATGTTAGGCTAACATGGATTTGGAGGTTTTTGAAGAAAGCTGACCAGAGTCGGGATGTAAACTGGGGACCTCTATCCGACACGATGTCTTCGGGGAGACCATAGTACCGGAACACACACTCGCAGAGTAACTTGGCCGTTTCCATGGCTGTAGGCAGTTTGGAGATGGGAATAAGGCGGCAGGATTTTGAAAATCGATCCACTACTGTGAGGATGGTGGTTTTGCCCTGAGATATGGGTAAATCAGTAATGAAATCTATTGCGATGTGTGACCAGGGACGATGTGGCACCTCCAGGGGTTGGAGTAATCCAGCTGGACGGTGACGGGAGTGTTTAGACATCTGACAGGGTGAGCATTTATTGACGAAGTTAATGACATCTTTGTGTATGGATGACCACCAATAGCGGGATTGAATCAGTTGTACGGTGGCTGTGCTGCCTGGGTGACCGGAACTGGGGTGGTCATGTACCTCGGAGATGAGCCTTTCTCGAAGTGACGGGGGAACGAAGATTTTATTCTCTGGACAGGGCTGTGAAGATAGATTGGTTTCGGCGGCTTGAAGGATCTCCTGTTCTATATCCCACTGGATAGGAGCAACAATTAGAGGATCTTTGATTATGGGTTCATCATGGTATTCAGAGGTTTCATCGTCTGAGAGGCGGGACAGAGCATCTGCTTTGATGTTTTTTGAGCCAGGGATATAGGTGACTTGGAAGTCGAATCGGGTGAAAAACAGCGCCCATCTTGCCTGTCTAGGGTTCAGACGTTTACAGGAGCGGATATATTCCAGGTTTTTGTGATCGGTGATGACGGTGAAAGGATGTTTTGCGCCTTCAAGCCAGTGTCTCCATTCTTCTAGCGCGGCTTTCATGGCGAGGAGTTCTCGGTTTCCCACATCGTAGTTCCGTTCAGCGGAGTTGAGCTTGCGAGAATAGAAGGCACAGGGATGGAGCTTCTTAGTGACTAGGGATCTTTGAGACAGGATGGCTCCAATTCCAGTGTTGGATGCGTCAATTTCAACTACAAAGGGTTGCTCGGGATCAGGATGACGCAGAATGGGTGCACTGGAGAAGCGAGTTTTGAGCTGAGTAAATGCTCGGACAGCGTCTGGGTTCCATTTAAGGCGAGCGTTGTTGGCTTTTACCATGGCGGTCAGTGGAGCAGCGACTGAACT